TGTGAAGTCTCGGGTTTATGCGAATAAACCAGAAACAGTTCCTGAGCTCAAACTAGAGATCCAACGCGTCATCAGTGAGATACAGCCACATCTCTGTGTAAAAGTCATGGAAGATTTTATGAAAAGAGTAATGGCCTGTCATCAGAGCCGTGGGTGACATGTCTCCTTTACAACTTAATAAAAATATCACAACTCTTTCATACAATACGTGTTTTTAATTTAAAATGAAAAAGTGCACTCTTACTGAGACACTCTTTGTATCGTCACTACACTTTGTTTTTCTTAAGACGTATGTATTTAGTTTACCATCCACAACATACTTAACATACAATAACAATACAAATTGCTTAACGTTGTACCCGTTTCACTTTTAATGACCCGCCCCATTTCGAATGACAGTCCAATTACATTGCAATCAAATTAAAATAGTCTTCAATATTTATTTTGTCCACTCTAATACAACTTACTAAAATACAGTATATAGGTTTGCAGGAAAAAAACTCCATACTAACTGTAGTTACTATATTTGTATCTGTATGTTAGTTTTAACTAATAAGTGCGAATTGCTATGCAAATAATTAAGACCACTTCCACGCTACATCAAGGTACCGCTTTATTAAGATTAGGTAGATTTTTGAAGATGTAAAATGCCTATGATGTCGCATGTGTTAATAGACCTTATATCGTAATTAAAAATTAATTAATTGCCGGGCCTATTATTTTATTATTCCCTTTATTTCATTGAATTTATATTTAAAATACATTTTTAAATATAATTATGTACAAAAAAAAAAACAAAATACATTTAAAAATATAAAAGATAGTGTCCCATCGGGCAAAAAATATAGATTTATAAGCAAAATGTTTGAGGACTTATTTCTGGAATACAATACGTTATTGGAATATTATTTTGCTGTAAAAGAGCCTGTTTAGCTCTACTTTTCGCATAATATCGTCGAGTGGAATGTAAATACTTAGTATTCCTGTAATAAGTACTAAATTTTTAGTTTAGTTTCATTTGACAGGCCGGTTAACCGGAGGTCGTAGGTTCGATGCCGACCCATTGTGTGATGAGCACGAAAATGTTTTTCTGTGTCTAGGTATAATTTATAAATAATATCTGCCTGGTTTGGGACGAGAATGCCGAGTCTGAGATGTGTGAAGTTATTATTATCATTTCCAGCAATATTGGTAGGGAAACACATAGACAAAAGTAAATACAACCGTAATATTAATGTTCTTAACCTACTCTATACAAGTAAATATAATTGAAGTGTCTGTTTGTAATGTCAAAAGTTTTTTATGCTCAAAACGTTATTTGCAGGATACCTGTGCCTAAAAACCAGTTTAATATTTTTTGTCTGTTTGTTCCGGGTAATCTTCTGAACGGCTGGACTGATTTTGATAATATTTTACTACCAGGTAGCTATCTATATAAGGAGTAACTTAGGCAAAAAACCTTTAAAATTTTGCCCGGTGCGGGAATCGAACCCACTCAGCGCTTTTCAAATTCCAGGAGAACGAAGTCGCTTGCACCAGCTAATATTATAATATTTTAATAAACGAAATCAGATCACATCTTCATCACATCACATCAACAGCCTTTAATAGTCCACTGCTATACATAGGCCTCTCCTTAGAAAGGAGGTTTTGGCCTACTATAGGCAAATCGTAAGTGCTTGGCAATGCTAATAAACTGTCTAAACACCATTGTTTAACCTGCACCATAGCAAGTTAATCACCCCAATGCAATGAAGCTCTGGTAGTCCTACTCATCTGTGTAAATACAGCTCTGTGCCCCTAGTCCCGATCAGCTACTATTTTCCTCTATTATATTTTGTATACTAGACTCAATTGAATAAGGTGGGTTACGTAATCGATCGCTAGAACAAAGTCTGAAAGCCGCCACTGTCAAGGCCAGCAGATAAAATAAAAAGTAGGTATAAGCGGGTTTATGTCCTTTGGCCTGTATTGAAATGTATAGGCTAGAAAAATAACGAAATAGCTTAACCATAATAAACTTAACTTTAAGTATGTTTTTACATTGTTTTATATATTATAATTAGCTTCATATTGAATTATCTCTTATTGAATTATGTATGTATCTACGTATTGTATTCGGTTGTAAAATAAGTTATAATTGTTGTTGCCGCAAAACACTCCGTAAAGAAATTAAATATTAATTTCTTCACGGAGTGTGTGGATTTCTGTAACAGTGCAAACAAAACTTTCTGAACTACTAAAATATCATTCTACAGCAGAAACATTCTATTATCGTATAAATTCGTCTCTGTTTACTGAATAGATCAAACCAGTTTTTCAATGTCATTTTAAAATTTAACATCAAATAAAAACTAATGTACTCGTAAGCTATAACAAAACAGTTTAAGGTTGTATGACAAAAAAATCTCATTTCGGGTATTTAACTTTGAAAAGGAAGAACTTCCGTACAACCGTTTATCCCTCATTTAATCCCCTTTGAAATCCTTTCTTAGTGGATGCTTACAGCATAAAAAAACATCAGCTGCCAAAAGTTAAAGTTTGTGGTCCCCGTGGGTCAGGGTCTGCGTTGATGAATTAGTCAGTCAGTCAGGGCAAGTAATTTTATTAGTATGGTATGGTATAGAGTACCATGGATAATAATAATAATAATACTCTCTCTCTTTCTCTCTCTCTCTCTCTCTCTCTCTCTCTCTCTCACACACACACACACACACACATACATGGCCGTCTGATCCCATCCTAAGCAGGGCCTGTACCATGGTCACCAGACTACTGATAAATATGCTTAAATATGTCTAAAAAAACACATATACATAAGAATAAATACTTAATCATGGTCCTCCAGCAATTATTTGTCCTGGGTGGGAATCGAACCCACGACCTCTTGCTTAGCAGTCAGATAACTAACTACTAGATCAACAGGCTCGTCATAGTTTAGAATATAAAATGTTATAAATAATAATGTGAGATCCTTGAAAATATCAAAGAGAAAGTTGATTTCATCGTCATTTAAGATAAAATCACTAACTGCATCTTACCAAACACGTTAATTCTAGACCTGACCGCATTTCTCTTTCCATTCCAAACAAGGATAAGAATATATCTCGCATCTCATAAAATATTCTTGTCACGAAACCCATTGACAACACACCGTCGTCTACATTGGCATAATTAGTTTAAATCATTTTCGTTTTCTATTTAACTTTTTTTACAAATTTCTTTAAAAACACGTCTGGGTTTTTAGGTACCAAAACATGTGAAAAAAAAGTCCTGGCTTCATTTTTTACAGTTCATTGACTCTGATTTTTAGGCGAGCTGTGGGTACACTGATGACTCATGAGATCTGAGGCGAGCGCTTTCGGCGTTGCGATTAGTAATGATTCGACGACGGGGCCGCAGGCTGCTAGAGAGTGGGGATCTCTGGTGGCAGATTAACTGCTGCGGTAGGCGATAGGATGGCGGCCTGGTCGCAAAACTGTCGAACTGATTGGGCCGATAGGCGGGGGAAGCCCGCGGCTTTGCTAGGCGCGGGGTCTATCCGGGGGAGACCTCAAATAACATGGTCCGGGTCCTCCTCGGTGCCTGAGTCCGGCCGTCGGGGTGGTTTTTACTGGAAACATGACATACTCCTGGCTCCTGAGTCCCCGAGGAGCAGGAGATCCGAAGTGATTTTCCACCCCGTCAACAAAAAAAAGTACATTACGTTCACATGAACGTACATCATGTACGTTCTATACCTATTTATTGTATTTTTATATAAAATGGGCATAAATGGATATTCATGGCAAACTTTAATAATGTAACCCATGTACTCAAGGAGGGTTATGTTTATCAAGTGTATGCTTCGACCAAAAATATTAATTTCTATTTCTTTTTTTTTATTTTCTTTTCTGTGTGGATAAATTTATATTCTATCGCTAGAGAGAAAACAGAACAATTACTTAGAATACAGTTCATTACGATTTACCACGATGACGCTTGAAGACTTTTTTAAAGTTAATTGTGTCACACCACATAGAATTGTAAATTCGACAAAACTAAAAGTCCTACTTAAAATATGAAAGTATTAATAAGTACAAACTTCTGCCAAAGAAAATATTGTAAAACCTTTCTTTTTAAGGTTATAATTATCCAAAGCCACAAATCTAAAGGCATAAAACCGTGTTCAAGGCAAATAAACGCAATTTTATATAATGTATATTCATACGAGTAGTACGTTCATGGTTGATGTAATAAAGGTCAAAACAGATTTGATGTATATAAAAACCAATGCCGATATCTAGAATGTGTCTGATATTTAATAACTAGCAAAAATCTTTTGTAACTAATGAAAGTAATTAGTGGATTAGGTGTATAACTGTATTATCCAAGCTGTATTCACGTTTCTAGTTCAAAGTTTAGATGTACCTACGTTCTGAGAGACACGAAAATTATCAAATTTCATCAGCATGTTGTTTACGAAAATGAGTAAAAACTCATTTAACCAAATAATTTTATTATGGTACAGGGGGAGCAAACGAGCAGACGAGTCTCCTGATGGTAAATAACTACCGTCGCCCAAAAATCGTAACCGGGGCAGAAACTTGATAGTGGCGCCTCTCTCTCCAACGTTTGAGATAAATTACTTAAAAAAGTCAGACTTATATAAGTTCACTTGTAGTGTGGGCCCGTGTGGCGCCTTTTTCTTACAAGTCGACGGTGAGCAAACGAGGCCTCCGTATGCTAGGCGCTTTGTGGAGCAATTGTTTTATTTTAAATCATACAATGTTATGAATTTGGCGACCGAATTTGGAGAAGGGGAAGGTCCGGGCTTTTGTAACCTCATTCACTCGGTGAACAACGACGAAAGACATGCTTAACACCGGTTTTCTGTGAGGCCGTGGTATCATTTCTGTGAGGTCTGAGCCTGGCTTCTTAAGTATTATGTAACTACTAAATAACTCTACACACAAGAGTATTTATTCCTAAGTTTAATTCAGAAACTGTTAATATTCCAGATGTCGGTGATAAGAGCAATAGCAGTTTTCTTGTGCGGCTTCCTGTCATTGAGGTTAAGTAGAGCGCAGATAATTATGACAGGCAACTGCCCGGACATCAAATCTATGAGCAACTTTGATGCTAGTCGAGTAAGTACATACACTAATTCAAAAAGTATTTTAATTTGATTCTAAGACAGCTACCAAACATGTTAAAAACTAATAATCAATAAGTGGTATTCAAATGTATTTGTGTTACATTTTAAATGAGTGCACGGATGGCGTAGTGGTCTAAGTGGTTACGCCACGCCACATTGCCACGTCCTACTACCCTTTTTTTTTTTCCTCCTCCGTCCACCTGTCGGTGGCATGTCGGACTCGAACTAATAGCCGGGGAACCAGGTATACCCTAGAAAGGAAGTCCCTGGTGCCCCGACATACCTCGGGTCATCTACAGACGAGTAGACGACCCCCCGTGTGGGAACCCCATGTTCCCTGTGCTCCCTGGAAGCGAGCGCGATTCGCAACGCGCTCGCCGCCACCCCGGCCTGCTTCTGCTAGGGTGACAGATGGCCTCACCTGTCACCCCCAGGCCTGCGCTTATGGAGGACGGAGGTCGTTCTGCGACCTCCGGCGCCTGAGTCGCCTGCGGTACCTGGCCCGTTTCCGGGCCTGGCGGGCCGGGAGAGTCCTAAACCTCTCCCGGTCCCGCTCCGCCGTCTCCTTCGCGAGCATAACTTGCTCGCAGAAGGAGAGTTCCACGCACTCTCGCTCCGCACGATAGCCGCAATCAGGCTATCGAGCGAGAGAGCGTCCTACTACCCTGAGTGTTGTGGGTTAGATCCCTACACAATACTGTGTGTGATCCACGAACGTTTGTTCTGAGTCTGGGTGTTTTTGAAGTATTAATGTATGTTTTTAAAGTCCCTCGCGATACAAGATATATATCTACTGCTTGAATTGTCTTAAAAAAACCGCTCGTAAATCGATAACAAGGCTAGACGCCATATCGGCAGTGTCGGATTAACCCTAAGGCAAAGTAGGCACGTGCCTAGGGGTGCGAGAATTTTTTAACAAAGAAAATACACATGCCTAACATAAAAAGACTGTGACAGTAAGTATGCACATACTTACACTATATAAACAATTCCTTAATTCTTTTTAGTAGGATAATGGACCAACATGGGCTACAGTCAGTCCATTATCCTTTATTGCATTCCAGCTTAAGGTGGCGTCGGCAAGATGCTTCTTCTAGGTCTGGAAAGAGCTGTGCTCAAAGCTGTGATTGAGAAGCCTTATGGGTACTCATCCGAAAAGCTATACGCAGATTGCAAAGTGTTCTCAGTTCAACGGCTCTTGGTGCTCAAGTCAACCATGAGTAGACATCGAAGTGTCCCACGCCCCGATCCATGCAGACGCACCAGGGCCTCAATTCTGCTATTTTATGTTTACGCCAAGCCACTGTCATACCACTGACACGCTATTGAGATGACATCGAGTGGCCATTGGCATCGGTATAAATATCGGTAGTTGAAAATATATTACGTTTTTTGAGGAAATGATTTATTTATTTTTATTATAATAAATTATTAAAAGAAATAAATAAATTATAAAAAAATAAATTCATAAAAAAATAAATAAATATATTATTAAAATAATAAAAATAAAAAAATATTAAAATAAATAAATCATTTCCTTATAATTTGAAAATATATTACGTTTTTTGATAAAAAATAAATAAAAATAAATATTTATACCGATGCTAACGGCCACCAGATGGCATCTCCATAGCGTGTCAGTGGTATGACACTGGCTTGGCGTAAACATAAAATAGCAGAATTGAGGCCCAGGATGTCTATATGCCTATGCATTACCTGTAAAACATCCTTTGCCAGAAGACAATTTAATACCATAAGCATAAAATTATACGCTGATATACACAAGAAACTCAATATCGCAGGACTAAACAACCACACACTTAAAACCATTCTTAGAGACTGGCTTCTAATTATGGATTACAATGAACCTGAAGAACTACTTATATACAATAATTGTTCGTTCGATAGCTTGTTGCGTTGGGTGCATAGATAAAAAAGACGTAAGACTGTATATCGTGAACTTGTATCATTAATTAAAACATAATTACATTGCAAGCATGTGTAACGTGCGGTTGTTACAAAGTATATAACCGGTACATAAGAAAACGTCTTTAAAATGGTCCCTCTGTCGAAACGTCACGGGCGGAACACATATCACGTCATTTACACGTGCGTTGATTGGTGCGTAGGCATTAATGCCAATACAACTGAACATTGCTACCCAAAATACAAGCATTGACTTGGTTTGGGAGACAGTGGTGCTAATTCTGTTGTTCGAAAACTGTCTAAACTAAACTAAAAATCACTAAAAAAAATTTTAGTCCTGTCAAATATTACGTTTTAAGAATAGGAAACGTTGTTTGACAAAACTAAACAAATTTTTAGTGATTTTTAGTTTAGTTTAGAGAGTTTTCGAACAACAGAATTAGCACCACAATCAGAACCGAAATCACGATACATTCATTCGTGTATAATTACAATAAGTCACCTTGTAAACTGTATAATTTTGCGACAATAAAAATTAGTATTATTCGATGACACTTTATGCCATAAATTTTGATCAATAAATGAATACTGATATACACGTAAATACGCAATAATGTGTTCACGGTTCGTATCACGGTTCGTACCTTAGAATTGTAACGATAATAAGAACAAAAAGATCATCCTTCGAACTTCTTAAAATATTGATGCTATGAATTCTCCCAAAGTTCTTTTTTAGAATCTCGGCTCACATTATACGCCTCGTAATACGGAGTGGCACTCATCCCGTGGTTGTCGTAAGAGCCGACTGAGGGAGGAAACTACGCAGGACAACAGCACTGCAAAGAGAAGGAAAACTTGACACAAACCCTTTTTTTTTTTTTTTTTTTTTTTTTAACGTGTGGAAATCCCCTCGGACCGTCACCCCTCCGGGGTTTGCGGCGGGGTGGTGTGTCGGACTAAAACCACACGGTGTGCCACTCTGCGCCTGTAACAGGAGGGATCCGGGAACAGCTGTTGTTAAGACATCCGGACCCCTCCTAGCGCCAGCCCGCTCCTGGTGCGGGCTCCGTCTCAATATTGTTGTTTTCCTCTCTTTAGGCGACGTCCGGCACACGCGGACGCCGCCCCCTCGCGGCTGGCCAAACTAATGCGGGTGGAGGGGAAACCCACCCCGTCCACCCGCGGCCACACTCAGGGCGGCATGAGGCTGTGGTAGGCGGGCCTCCGCCGCCCGGTTCGCCGGCGGCGGATCGGGTCCGAGTGGAGGTCGTCCTCCCGGGCCCTCTCCGCCGCCTCCTTCCGCGAGATTACTACCTCGCAGAAGGTTGCGACCGCGGTAAAACAACTGTCGCTACCGGCCATGGAGCGTACTACGGCCGGTAGCGAGAGATCCACTCCGATGACTGCAGTGAGGGCCGAAGCGTGTGCTGGGCCGAGTCCTCACTGCAGTCGCAGTGGTGGCAGGCGGGACTCAGTTCCCTCCTGGCGACCGTGTGCAGGTACTTTCCGAAGCAACCGTGCCCGGAAAGCACCTGCGTCAGTCGGAAGGAAAGGGTCCCGTGCTGCCGCCCTGCCCACTCGGCGATGACCGGCTGGTGAGCCTCCACGGCGGCGAAGCCAGCGCGTGGAGTCTCCAGCCGGAACGACCAACGAGCCATCGTGGCTCGGCGAGCGGCTTCGCGCCACTCGCGCACATCCTCGGGCGGAGGGCGAAATCCGCCCTCCGCCCGGATGTCAGCCACTCGCCGATAAACTTCGGCGAGCACTTCCGCCTCCAAATCCCACGGGGGAGTTCCGGCCAATGCGCATGCCACCTCCGTCGAAACGGTGCGGTAACCGCGTATGGCTCTGACCGTCATTACCCTCTGAGGGCGCCAGAGGCGTACCCTATTCTGGGCGGTCAGAGCCGCCGCCCACACCGGTGCACCGTACAGCGCCATTGACCGGACAACCCCCGTGTACAGCCGTCTTGTCGCGACGCTGGGTCCACCCATATTGGGCAAGAGTCGCCCTAGGGCAGACGCAGCGCCGACCAGCTTTGGAGCAAGCTGTCGGAAGTGCTCGTCGAAGAGCCACCTCCCGTCGAGGATCAGGCCCAGATATTTCATCTGGGCCCGAACCGGTACGAGGACCGAGTTGACCACGATGGAGGCGCCAGGGGGTGGACCACGACGGGGCCCATGAAATAACAGGGCCTCCGTCTTATCTAGGGCCACCCGTAAGCCCAGCGCCTCAATGCGCCCGACCACCAGGGAGACTCCCCCTGTGGCCAGGCGCACCGCCTCTTGGAAGTTTGCCCCCCGGGCTGTCACCAAGGTATCGTCTGCATAACAGATTACACCCAGCCCGGGGGGGAAATCGGCGCGAAGGGCCCAGTCGTACCCTATGTTCCACAAGAGGGGTCCAAGAACAGACCCCTGTGGAACACCGCACGACATGGGCCGACACCTCAAATAACCTTCTCGGTCCTCGTACACGACGATACGCTCCTCTAAATAGTCTGCCACTAGCCGCCTCAGGTACTTTGGCACCCCATGATAGTGGAGTGCTTCCCTGATGCAGCTGAATGGCAGACTATTGAATGCGTTGGCGATGTCTAATGACACCGCCAACAGCACGCCGCCACAGCTCACGGCCTCACACAAACCCTATACCAACCCGTCTGGCCAGTGTGATATAGTAGGCCAAAACCTCCCCTCTAAGGAGAGACCTAAGCAGTGGACTATTACAGGCTGTTGATGAAATGTGACGTGTGATGTGACTTTTTGATCTTCATTTCAATATTTAACTTTTCTGCTATGAAATATCTAATGACCAATCGCAACAATTATTTTTTTTATGTTTCAGTACTTGGGCAGGTGGTATGAAGCGGAGAAGTATTTCTTCGTCTTCGAATTTGGTGGGAAATGCATCACAGCTGATTACAAGCAGAAAGAAAATGGAACGATAGAAGTCGTCAATAAACAAATAGGTATTATGTGAGTATAAGATTTTTATATTCATATGTATGTTCGATGAGAAAACACAAATGTTCCGGCAATAGTAATTTAGAATTAATAGTATGGAACCCTGAGCTGATTGAGCTGTTATTTATATTACTTCCGTATCAATACTTCCGTATCACCCAAATCCTATTCATTTCTTATTTACCTTTCCTTTAACTTTGTTTAATATTTCGTATCCAATTCCTAAAGTGCCCCATTGCCCATAGCTATTAGGTAACAGGCTAAAATAGGCTTGCCCCGTATTATGTACGGCGACAAATTAGAATTTGCAATGTAGTGTTTACTACGCTTCTGCCTACTCCTGCCAGGATATAGACGTGAGTGTACGTGTTTTCTTATTTTTATGTAGTTTTATTTCTTACAGAGAACGATCAGTGCCTATAAACGGATAATCTAATGCCTATTGCAGTAATATGCACAAAAAAAGGAATATAAGTATCCAAATGACTTCAAATTTAATTCATAAAGAATAGTATTGTCCAAAACTAAGAGTTCGTCAGCTCTCCATACACACTTTATAAATAAAACATGTACCTAAGCGAACATAATCATACGTTAATGTTTTTGTTTAAATATATTTCAGTACGTTTTCTAATGATTGCAATAATTAAAAATTATCTCATCAAGCTTCGATCAAATAACCTCGTTTGTTTGATCGAAGTCATCAAAGGAGTAGTCATTTCAAACAGTTTCCCCTTCATTTTTAGTTATAGCTATGCTTTTTATCCGGTTTTATACACATTGTATGAGCAAATGATTTTTCTCCATATTTCTTTCCAGTGCTTTTTTTTAAATCTGAATTCTGCTTTTCGGGGCGCAGACAATTCCAAAAGATCAAACATAATAAATATCGGTCAAACCGTTCTGGCGTTATAAATGGTTAACTAACCCGTCTTTGTTTTAAATATTAAGTATTAAGAGTACTCGTAGGTAAGAAAAATATGAGTACGTATTAAAATCGGCCTCGTTTGCTAGCACGTGGTGCAGCCGGTAATTAAATGATGGAGATTTATTTTATTAAACAGTCACTTTCTCAATTTATAAATGATTTACTTTCAAAAAATATTACAAGAACTAATTTCGATTAGAGACAAAGTTAAGCTCGGTCCTGGAGGCTTTGATCAGGGTGGCGGCATCGTGGATGGAGAACACTTAACTGCAGTGCGGGCGGTAGCAAAGAGTGTCCCGCGCCGCGATTGCTCCTCTTTATATGACCCTATGCGGGGTGAGGCGGTGAGGAAGGAAGGTAGTCTTGGTGGGAGTCGAATCACGGCTACTTAATTAAATTGTGTTTATGTTCAAAAGTGTGATGTCACATTAAAAATCAAACTCTATATCCTTTAGTGTAACGTTTCAAATGTTTTTTTTTTCAGATCAGGTCTGCAATCTCAGATCAATGGATACGTCACTCAAGTGAGCAAATCCGATGAAGCCAAACTAGCTGTTTCGTTTCCTTCTTTACCCTATGACATTGAAGCGCCATATTGGGTGATAGACACTGACTACGACAGCTATGCCGTAGTTTGGAGCTGTTATGAATTTGGAGTGTTTCATACAGGTATGCCATACAGATAAGCCATAACATTAATTTAACACCATCTGTCGTATGTTTCAGATAGTGATTTTTTAAATGTTTAATTTGTCTTTTACCGACTGGATTTGTGATTAATAATGCAATTTTTTTAGAATCTCTAGTTTATACGGTTAGATCATATATCAATAAAAAATAAAATAGAAAGACTGTATCTATTTAATATGTTAGGTTCTGTTAATTCTTATATGTGTGTTTATAATATGTACTTCTATTCTAAAAAACCATAAGTGCACCATTACTAGCGAAATATACAGATTGGCTAGACTCTCATCAAGGGTAAGGCCTAAAACTGTGGCCATAATGACTATTAAATATTAAGTATGTGTACACTTTTCTTTTTCTTCTAGTGAACGTATGGATCCTAACAAGAGAACAAAATCCACCGGCCTCCGTTTTTTTAAAAGCCTATTCAATCCTCGACAAAAACCACATAAGCAGGGCTTACCTGTTGAAAACTAACCAACGAGACTGTCCAGAAAAAGACGACTGATTATAAAAAGCACCATTAACACATATCGTGGAATAGAAATGTAATTCAACGATAGGACGATGAAAAAATATTACTTATAGTGATGGCAGTTAAGGGCACACGCCCTACATACAAAATAGACCGTTTAGAATAAAATAGTTCATAACCAGGTTTTTTACATAAACTGAGGCCTATGTTCAGCAATAGACGTCCTTTGACTGGCTTTCGTAATGAAAGATTACATCGTTGTCATCAAAAAGCCGTTGCTTCTACGCAATCTTCATCTAGCTCTAATAATTCTAATAATTTAAAAAAAAACTTACCCCTTCACTCGCTTGAAAGTATTTTTACATCCTTTCCGAACTTTTATATTTCTATTAAAAGGAAGCCTGTCCCGTGTCTCAGACAATATATACGCAAAACTTCCTGAGAGTCTGATGAACGGTACCTCAGTGCATAAAATTTGAACAAATAAACTTAAATTTTGATTTCTCCTGAGTTAATTAAAGCATGTGCGTATACAATACAAGGTTGTGTAAAAAATTCAAAACTATTATTAAAGAAATTTACGAGATTTGTGAGTATGGACAAACTTTAAAATTTTATATTTAGGTACACGAAGAAATAGGTAAAGAAAGAGGAAACACTACTCATTTTTTAACTTTACCATAATTACTTTCCCTTAAACATAAATAAGATTATAGTGTAACAATATATAAGTTATGCATTTATTATTATTAATGTAGTTATATCGTGTCTATTATCATGACCTCCATTGGCTTAGGAAGCTTATGAGAATGGACAAGATTGCTAAATCTAACGATAAATTTAAGTTCTGTTATTGTGAAAAATATTTATTTACTTATAAACAATGGTGCGTAGTACGTACTTAGTAGAAGTACGTAGTTTGCTATGATAAGAAATAAAACAAATACAATGTTTAATATTTATTATCTACAACTTAAATATATTAAAGCCTTTATAAAATTTGATTAGTTTTATTTCAATTTGTGAAATTATGGGTTAAGAATTGTATAGACTCTAAAGTCTAAAGACTAGTCTCTAAAGTCCATCTGTAATTTTGAACCAGAAATACAGTTAAGAACAGACCTGTATTCACAATTATATACCACGATTACAACAACGACAAAGAGAATAGTTACCTGAAGAAGTTAATAAGCCATAAATCATGAATAAAACATCAATATAATATTATTTTTCTTACGTATTCAATTATAGAATCTGGCCGCCCTGACAATAGTGTCAAAAATGTTGTTGGTTTTGGAAACACTTTTTATTGTAAAGTAAAACCAATAATATTTTTCTAAAAGCGCACATTCGTGATTTGTAAATCACAAATGTTTCAGAAACACAAATGTTTCTTTAGAAACCTACATTAAAACAAGGGCTCTCAGGCTCGTCCGAAACTTTAATTTAGCTTTGTTTGCTTCTTAGTAGAAAAAACTAAATAAATGCTTTAAACTTTAAAATGGCCAATTGGTAAATACAGCTAAAATCAATTCGATTTCATTCAATCATAATGTGTATTATTCATATTATTTTCGGGCCACACTCAAGGATAATTTCTATGTGGTTCTCGATTGTTATATTTTCTCAAGTTCTTTCAAAATTTGCTTTTGCCTTAAGTAGGGGTGCTATCGTCAGAGTGCCAACTTTTTCTGGGTTCTCCAGTTGCTTCATCATAGGTTGGTGGTGGTGGGAGGTCGTCGCTTTTGGTTTTCGTTGGTGGTTTAGTGGGCGCCGCTAGTCGATCTTCTTCAGCTTCCTCAGGAATAGAGTCACGACGCCTTGGGTCGTATTCTGAGAGTACCGGTTGGGATATGTTGTTGCGCTGTCCTAATCCCACGAAGCCTAGTTTTGGTGCGCTGTAAGCTTGCTGCGAATGAAACATATACTTTTAATATAAAAAATTACGTGCGTAACATTTAAAATTAGTAACAACGATTCCAATGCCCTACATGATGATCATTTGTAATAAACCGTATTCTTTGGATCAGTATACCCTTTTTCTTTTTTTTCCAGTGCGTAAATTCTCCCGGATAACCACCACCAGTTAGGTGGTTATGTCGAACTCGAACCCACTAAAAACCATACGCCGTCTCGGGTACTAGTAGCCGGGGAACCAGGTGTACCCTAGAAAGGAAATCCCTGGTACCCCGATATACCTCGGGCCATCTACGACGTGTAGATGACCCCTCCTGTGTGGGAACTCCGATGTTCCCTTCATGTTCCTGGAAGGACGCGCGCGATCCACGGCGCGACGCGCCCTCACCCTAACATGCTTCTGCTAGGGTGACAGACGGCTTCACCTGTCAGCCCCAGGTCTGCGCCTATTGAGGACGGAGATCGTTCAGCGACATCCGGCGCCTGAGTCGGTCGGTACCAGGCCGGTTCCCGGGCTTGGCGGACCGGTTTTAAACTTCTCCCGGTCCAGCTCCGCCACCTCCTTCGCTAGCATAACTTCGCAGAAGGAGACGGCGAATTTCTCTATCGCACAGTACCATGGTAGCAGTCATGTAACCGAGCGAAAGAATTCTAACTCCGATGGCCGCCATAAGGTCAAGCCTCTGCTCGGCCCTGACTGGGCATTCTGCCAGCGTGTAGTGTAACGTGTCCCGGCTATTGCAATCGTGGCACTCAGGCGTTGGCTCCTTGCGGATTAGAGACAGGTGATCTCCGAAGCATCCTTTCCCGGCGATCAGGTGATCTTCGAGAAAGGATACTCTCATACCAGCTTATACAGGTGCATCAGCCGGTATGAGAGGGTTCCGTGTTGCCTGTCGAGCCAATCCTCCATAAGGATCGGTAAATCCTATTAAATAACAAAAAAAAGAATTTTCAAAATCAGTTCATAAATGACGGAGTGCTTTGGTAATAAATACAAGAAAGCACCAGGATTTACTAGATACTGTAATCTTAATTCATATGAATTTGATAAATACAATTGTCCTTTATATCTGGTCTACTATTTCATTATTAAAATATCTTATGTCTGCCTCAGGACATCGCGAGATATAGTTTTTTTTAAAGCTTATGGAGCATCTTGTTTTTGTTCAAGACCGAAGACTTCGGCTACTTCTAAATGCGTCAGCGTCGACAATCGAAAAGGAATCATATCGGTAGGACTATTTAAATAACGTGGAAAATTGTACTAAATTGCGTATATATTGTACTCACATAAATAATCAACTTATATATCTTTCATTTTTAAAGCTAAGTACATTTTAATATTAATCATGGTAATAAATTTTGCGAAGCTCACGTCACGATGAAAGATACAGAAAACAAATACCTGTATTATATGTAAGATCAAAAGCAAGGTTTTATATTATTTGCTTGCGTATCTGCTAAATAAATAATATCAAAATATTTATAGCCTTCAATGTTATTTTAATGTAACAATGTATTTATCAATATTAATTAAGTGTTTTTAAAGTTATTAACCGATATTCTTGAAAGTCATTAAATGAGGCCTATACAGGCATTAAATGAGGCATAACATTTGTTAAATACGGTTCAGTTGTTTAGTAGCCACTAAGAAAGGCCTCATTTAATGACTTTCAAGAATATCGGTTAATAACTTTAAAAACACTTAATTAATATTGATAAATACATTGATAAATACATTCTACCGATAATACCACGTGCCATTTAGTCCGCATTTGTGCAAGTTTTAATGGTGGTGAGGAAGTGTTAAAAAAATCAAATGTCGATAAATTTGTCTTTCTTGTGAGTGCACTTGGATACGTCAAAGTAATAAAAAATAAGGAATAAAATAAGGGGTTTAAAGAGGATTACTGTACTATATACAACTTGTAAGTATATTTAATAGTTAGTATTTTTAATCGTGGTTTTTGTTTATTTAATGATTCTTAAATTAATTGGTTAATAATTGAGAAGTTCCTAAGGAGCGCTAAAAGATCTATCACAATAATATATTACCTTATAATGATTACTAGGTCTGCTTATAGAAAGCACTGGATTCGAAATGTGTCCTTTCGCAGAGTGGTGGTGGGTCATTTCTAGCGCTGAACGCAGTAGATCTACTTTGGAGGCAGAACCTTCGTAATTACTGCCACGACGTTGGCTGTTGCTTCCGCTTCGGCTGCGGCAGTGTTCATTAATGTCGCCTTGAGAGAACTGTGAGAAAAGACAAACGATAAAAATCTTCCTTTTACTAAATCACAAGAACAAACAGTAGTGTACAAACAAACAGTAATTTTCATAGTAATAAACAGACTACCTTCATTACTACATTTAATAGAGTTTCCATTCTCTATGATTAAGGACTCAAGGGATTAATTAATCAAATTAAGGATCCTTAGTCTGAATCATACAACGTGCCCTGTAAATTATTATGCCTTAACGAGGACAGAACAACTATAAACCACTCAAATTCCAACCGGTCTTTTTGTTAATCATTTCGTTGTCCTATGGGTACAATAATGATTGTGAAAGAAGGAGTGTATTTTGTTTTACATTTTGATGAAGACAGAGGTGTCTGCCTACCCTTCCTGGAATTTACAACAGTTAATAAAAATTTAGAGAGCAATTTTTTTAAATACATTTTAGTCAGTCCTTTGTCGGCAGTGGTATCCTTATTGGAAGCAATAAAGTTAACCACATAAGTCATAAGTACAGACAACAGAAGTACGCATTCTATCATTCATTTACTAACCCTTGAACGAGAGCCTCTAGGTAATGAATGTACGGAACCAAGAGGGTTGAACCGTGTGATCATATGCAGCCGTTCCAGAGATATCATGGTCTCCGCATCCTTTCTTAATGGCTCTCCATTCAGCTTATCGCCTTCTCCGCTTTCTGTATAACAAGAGCAATATAAAAAAAAGCTACTTGTTTTGCTTTAAATTCATCATCATAATCATAAATAGCCTTTAATAGTCCACTACTGGACCTAGGCCTCAATTGGTGTGCTAACACTCCGTATTCTTAAGAGACACGTCCCTAAGAAATGCGCGACTAAGCAATTACTATTTAAAAAAAAAAGAACTCACTTTATTAAATGACACTGTAAAAAAACTGAGTTGCTTGATAGATGTTTACATTTTTTCAAAATAATTCTTATTTGCGAGAAAAAAATCTAGGAGAACTAGGTATGTAAGTTTTATTTTGTATTTTTTTTACCAATTAATACACAAATGTTAGTACTCATTAAAATCGTAACTTATTTTTGAACCTATTTCAGATAGATATGGAAAAACGCAAAGAAAATAATTATAAACACAGAATTATTCGAAAACCATAGGCGGCAAAAACACACACTAAACACACACATACAATAAATATAGGAAGTTGTAAAACAAAGCTGTGCCATACCATAGTGTACTCACTTTTTTACTGGACTGTGCAAACCCTTAAAAGATGTCTACCGACGTAGTAACACAAACACCGTTAAAATGAATAAGTTACTGAAAAACGCATGGTAAAAAGATATTCCTGACGGCCCTGTTATATATATGACGGGCCTGTTGGTCTAGTGGTTGGTGAACCTGATTGCTAAGCCGGAGGTCGTGGGTTCGATTCCCACCCAGGACAAATGTGTGATGAGCACAAGCATTTGTTCTGTGTCTGGGTCTAATTGTTCTATAACATATGTATGTATTCAGTAATATATATGTACATTTATCAGCAGATTGGTTACCATAGTTAGTTGGCTCTGCCTAGTTTAGGACCAGACTGCCGAGTGTGAGATGTGTGAAGCTATTATTATTATATTGCCTAATAAATACCGTAATAATAATTGTTTCCGGAGACACAATTATCATTTGTCAATGTTGTGTTATCATGTTGTAAAAATGATTAATAATTTGGAACTTCCAATCTCAATGCTACAAAAAGATGCAATCTTTTGCAACGGGTTAAGCGCTTTCCATCAAGAAACCCATTCACAGAACCGCTTGCCACCAAACTACTCTTAACCGTAACATTACAGTTAACCCACAGTCACTAATTACTTTACCAATTGCTTTATAATAAACCATCATAATGTGAAACGGTCGTATTGATGATTCTGTAGAGGAAGACTGTAAATGATATGGTTCTGTGTAACAATAAACTTAAAAGTGCTAATTTTTATTAGACTCAAGTATTGCCACCTACAAGCTCAGTTTTAGCTGGAAAAATGTGTTGGAACAATTTAATTTAAGAGAAAAAGTATCACGACTAATTAGGCTAGTTCTGCGGATCTTAGAATATTAGTCGTCCAACTATAAAAACGTACCTACATGGAATATTGAATGCAAATTACTTAGATGAACTTGTTACTTCTTTATAAAGTGTAGTAACAAAGTACGGAACCCTACACAAGACGTTTTTTCTCTCATAATGATTGATCAGTCTCAGTTGAATTAGTATTTAGCCTGATGCTCTCCGCTAATCCGAAAGATTTGATTAGATTGTAATAACTTAAAAGGTAAATTACAAATTATTCTGCTCCTTAAAGGCTTAATGGCAGTAAAGCGGTTTGTGCGAGTATACAATGCTCATTTACTTGAATTTGCGACGCTTTGGTAGTTTTTGAAGTCTGGTTTTGAAAGTGGTGGTATGAACGATTTGCGCGTGCAACACACCAGCTTAGTCTTTAATAATCATCATCAACAGCCGTTACTACTCTACTGCTGGACATGGGAGGTGGTAACACTCCCTAATTTTAAACCGTCATCACACGGACCAATACGTACAATAATAATATTTAATACATTTTTTTTTGTCAAAATTTTATATTCTATTTGTACTGACAATAAAATATGAACCTTAACGCATATTACATATATGTTGCACTGTCCTTAACTTGTACTGACAAAAAATATATATTTACACTTACCAGTATCTTCACATGCATCCTCCATTCCCGTCATATTGATGTTTTTCAACCAGAAGTAGTGCAGCAGCCCGTATAACACTCCACCGAGGAATGCTATCAATCCCATGTACCGGAACGCCTCCCTTGTTCCCAGAGAAGCAATGAGGAGACCACCTCCGAAGCTACCGCTGCCCCTGCCTGAAAAAATATTTATTTCTATTAGATTGCAAATTAAAATTAAATATTACACATCTATATGTGTTGATAATTAAAAAAATATTTATGAAATTACAAATTTGTTGACCAATTGCCTGCACTTTGCAGTTCCCTTCGCTATACGAGCCTAGTTTAAAATACAATTGTACAAAGCAATTTTGGACATTGGTACGAAAATGTAGCACATGAGTCTTTAATACAGAGTATTTAGTATGGAGTTGTCGTTGCATGTGGTACAAAAGGCTAAAGTCACTTCAACAACATTTTTAATAGTTTAATAGTAATTTATTAAACCGTTGGAATATAACGAGGTAAAATAGAAATGTTTTAAATAGAAACAAATTTAATTTTTATGTATTTTACATGAGGATCTAGAAACAAGCAGTTCAATATGCATAATCCTCATTACAAAACATTGAGAATAGACCATTTTTACAGATAAAATTGACAAAAGAAGTTGGAAACAAATTATTTCTTAATGACGTCAATGTTATCTATAAGTACCACAAATCATAGCTAAAGCTGTGGGGCTAAGATTATTCAATATTTAATTAAGGATGAGAAAACATTAAAGTATTTGCTTCTTATTTGCTTTCTGTATCAAACAGGTTCCTGTGTTTTTTTTAACAATTTAATGTAAACAGATGTTCGAAACGGTGTGAGGCTTCGTCTTAGTAATTGTTTACAACAAATTTAATTATTGTATTTTCAACTGGGAGTGCAAAATTGTAATGTTTAGTTGGTTTGATCTAGTACGATTGTAAAGTATTTCAATTCATACACTTCTGCTCCATAGTTTTTTATTTTTTATTTTAGATGATAGTGTTTATCCGATGTTCAGAATTCGACTATAATCTTTAGAATATTTTTTTTTGATAAAAACGTACGGTGTAAAAATTTAATGTAAGTACGTAACATTGTATCATCTTTTGTACATCCGTGCATTAAATTTTTATCACGCGAATACCCTCTTAAGCCATCACCTCATCGAGGCTACCTGTAAAGTGGAATGTCAGAATCGAAACGACTTTTAGAGAAAGAGCTTATGACTTTTTTTAAAAGAGTACCTAGTTTAGGGCATAAAGCACCTTGAAATTAAAACCTAAATGTAGTCCAACGGAAGATCTGGGAGACCAAATCATCTCTCATAGGTACTTATCGGTGCTCATTACATAACTGTAAGATATTCATACGAAAGAGGAATTTCAGTTCGAATAGAAATTAAAAAATATATAAAGAAGCCATGTTAACTGACTAAAAACTAAATATGCTAAATATTTTTCTTTGAATGAATTCATCAGCTAGAAAGCATGCAGACCTAGGTTCTTACCAGAATTTTTAAAATAAAGGTCATCAAAGTCAATAACGACATAAAATATTTAGCTGCCTACCTAAACTAAAATGTGCCATGCCCAGCACACCGATCAACGTGGCGAGAAGACTTTTCGGTGCCAACATCGCACAGTATGTCGCTGCTGCCACCCACATCAGATGCACTGATAGAGACTCCATAGCTTCAAATGGGAAACACCACCAGGAATTCCTGTGAAAATCGAAATGAATTAAAAATAATAAACCAGACAACGTATAACCTGATAATTTTTGCTCAAAAATTGTCTTATTGCCTGAAATACAGCCGGGCGGTTAAATTTCCCAAGTCGACGAGGCACAGGCACAGGCACTATTCAGTCACAAAAACTTATCATATGACTGTGGATGAACCTCCAAATTAACGTGCGTGATAACTGAGGGACCATACTGGTATTTCGTTAAATAATAGTTATATGTATAAGTATATGATTTGAAACTATTGTAGAACAAATCTGGGAATTGGAAACAAATAATTTAAAAACTACAGCTCTTAAAGTGCGGTCCCTCAGTTCTCACATATCATCAACCAGATCTCGGAAAATATCCGAAAAGTTAAGGTATTGTAAATACAGACATTTGGTAAATAATTTGTAAAGATATTTACTGTTTATGTATAGCTGATAGTTTTTAGGTCCCACGTAATAGTGGGCGAGCCTATTGCCGTGTATGTGTATATGAAAAACCCAGTAACACTTTCAGGAATCGAACGTGGTCAGCAGTAGTATAAGCTAACTTATATGTATTAGGTACTATATATTAGCCAGGTATTTAATATTATTAAACATGATGAATTTATTATTTACATAGGTATTGTACACTATATGTTTCACTACAAAGGAGATATAACTAAAATACAAATAAATAAAACAAGGGCATTTGTTATTTCATAATTTCAACATTATAATTATTATTATATTGGGAATAGATTATGGTATAATTGCGGGCAAGAGGGGGACGCCGCTCTCCTTCATACCGCGCTCCTCTAAGTAGCTGAGTTGATTCACTATTAGTATTTATTACACATTTGTTATAACCGTGAATTTTTTCAGACCTCCAAATACTAGCATTTGAATAGGAGGAGGGAGGGGGGACACTTTACTATAACAAAAATTTGCGCTTTAAGGCTTAATATTAGGTCTTTCTTTCCCTAAGAAGATAAAATTGTTAAGATTTAACTGTAAAATTTCACTGAACTTCAATTTAAAGTTCAAGTGTCCCTTATTTTCTCTATTATTAAATAAATATTATTTATCTCACGTTATTATCAACAGGGAAAAAACAATAATGACAACTGATTTATTACATCAATGTCACAAACTTGTGTTTGTTCTCTATTAAATCCTCAATAGAGAATTGAGGATTTTACTTTTTCACTTTTAATCATTAACATGATCTTAAAATATAACGAAATTTTTTTAAGAAGACCCTAACAACTTTAAGAAGACTAATATTAAGACTTCCATTGTGGTCAAATTTATCATGTTCATATTTTAAATTCAGAAAATGCAATACCATCATCGTCAGGTATAGAAAGTTACTTTAAAACTTAAAAAAAAAAAAATGCTATAAAAACTAGAACTACATTATCTTTGTCTACCGATATCACTGTTTTAAGAACGAGTATTTCTTTGTGTCTTTGTGTAGTACACTACTCTGTTTAATTTCATAGGATTAAAAAAATATTGGTATCTCAACTAAGAGGTAAGAAATACACTTTTAGGTCCCTATTATTTAGTAGAAATATTGTACTAAAAGTTAAGTACACTAGACTTTTGATATTTCTCTCGTAAAGAAGCTAGTAATATTAACTACCCTATTAAGTCTTTCTGATGTGGACGTTTCAAAGCCCTAACAAAGCCATTGCGTAGGCCTAATAGACAATTGGGTAACAAATTGGTATGATAACAATGTATAGAAACGTTGCATAGTCATCTAAAGACAAATTTAGAGGCCCAACAAAGCATCAATACTAAGCCGATTTGATAAAAATGTTTGTAAACTAAAACTAAATTGAAAAACTTAAAAAGATAGGGCCTTAGATTTAATTTCGCAAAGAATCTATTTTAGAAACAAATCCAAAAGTTGAGTTTTTTGGTCGAAATCGAATCGCATTCGATATCAAAATCATAGCGAAGCGATATATGAAGCGAACAACCCACTGCAGAGAAAATTGGGTACTATACCGTCGTATAAGTATTAATGTAATATAAGTTGGACGTATGGCAATGCTCATCGGAAAGTAAGAGACGACAATTAGTACTATTATACCCATCTAAGGAATACATAAGATAATTATGTCATGTAAAGTGTCACAGAACTGTATAGAGCCCTGAACAGGTAACTGTTAGCATTAGAGGCGTCCCACGCACCGTCATTGTGCTCATAAACTTGACAATGCGACGTCGTAAATACATTCATCTTGGAAATGGTGCTTTAATGCGTAAGAACATCATTGAGTCGGTCCGGTTTTGTAACTGCAAAATTTATATGAGTTTATCGATGCTGATGTACCTATATGAAGGTTGTATAGATACAGGTTCTTAAAGGTTAAGCGAAGTAAAAGCAATGACATGTTTGTGAGCCATCACTTGCGAAGAAAGTTATTAATATTGCCTTATAAAAAGTTTACTGTTTTGTATCCGAGACTTAGGATGTTCCCTATTGAAATATATCTCATATAATAATAAGGAAAATCATAAATGAGACTTTTTCTAAACGTGAGTTTCAGCCACGGTTAATTGAATTTGATTGCATGTCTCGCTTCGCGAATTAACAACACTTTCAGAGTTTGGTCTACCATTATAATTTCAAATTCATGCAAGGTAATGAGTATGAAAAAATCGTGGACTGTGCAGCAATAACGTTTTCTTTGTATAAAGCAGATCAGTAAGAAACGATTTAGTGAAACAGGCATATTACTGTGAAAGCAAAATGGTAATGCGTTTTCAATAACCGACCTGTTTATGTAATTGTGGTTTCGTATTAAAATATAGTGAGACATCGTTTTAGTTGTAAAATTACTAGGCACCCATCTCGGTCATTTACTTTCTTTATGACCGCAAGATACTGCACAGCTACAACTTTCTTGTACATTTTTTCGCAACTATATATGTACTTTATAAAACAAAGTACCTTTCGGCAAATTAATATAAAACCAGTCAAGCGATAGACAGCCATATTTTTATAACAAATTAACATAATTTACAATTCTTCTATTTATAATTGTGCATTCATCACCTGTAGGTTATCGGTGATCAGCTGTATCTTTCCTACGTTGTCAATTGGTAACGTTCTTATTCAGCTGGCAGCCTTGCTGAACTGAATGCCAATTGTTATCTTATTAACCAATAATAGAAAAGCATATTATTTGCCTTGCCTATTATTTATAGCGGATACACCAGGACCGTATGTCTCTAGCGTCTCAATATCGGCTTTATGCTGTTTTAGTAATAGCGTAGATGATGTCAAGTATTAACGCGCTGTGACGTCACACCTAACTATTGTCAAATCATTAGATGACGTCAAGTAAAATTAGTATCGTTTTAGTAAATGTCAAAGTGATTAACGCGCTGAGACGTCACACCTAACTATTAACAAAACAGATCAAGAAAATCAATAAAAAACTAAAGTTTTAATGTTGATTTAAAGATATTAAAACTTTAAATTGATAATGGGGATATTTCATTATGTACCCTTTACCCTTACATACTGTCCATTTAATGATTTAGATGAAATTATTGATTTTAAACCTCGGAGTATACCCTATTCCTCAGTAAGAGAAAAATAAAACCTGTATCTATGTTCGATATTCAATGATTCTGTTACACTACACACTTATAAATTTATCTTAGTAACATTAAATGTAAAAAAAACATTATGTTGCGTTCCTCATATTACAGTGTTAAGGTATTATATTATTATTAGCTTTTGCCCGTGGTTCCGCTTGTGTATATGTCGCCTAATGCGGTAAAAAGTAGCGTATGTCCTCCCACGGGAATCAAAGTATTATACTATGCTGAATTTCATCATAATCGGTTCAGCGGTTTAACGTGTAACAGACAGACAGAGTTAATTTCCATTCATATTATTATCAGGAATTTTTTATGTGATATAAGAAGCAAATGAGCAGACGCGTTACCTGATGGAAAGCGACTACCACCCGCAAATGAACACCTGCAACTCAGGTGCCACAAGCGCGATGACGGACTTCGATGTGGGAGTATGCGCTATATATATATATATATATTTATATATATATACATAATTATAAGAACTAACATAATATATATACTAACATAATTATTAAGAATGCAACTAGTCGATACTTCTCGTGATCTGAAGGCCGGCCTTTTTCTAGCACAGAGAATTAGCAATGCCATTCAACGGTGCAATGCTGCCAGTCTTCTGGGCACGCTACCAGTAGGCGATGATGCGGAGGAATTTTTTGATGCTTGTTTATGTAAATAGTGTAAATTTTATAAATATTTTAATTGCATTCGATGGGCCTGTTGGTCTAGTGGTTAATGACCCTGACTTCTAAAGCCGGAGGTCGTGGGTTCGAGCCATGAATAAACAGTTTTAACAATAACGTTTAGTGTATTCTCGTCCAATTTTATAGCATATTGTTACATCAACTGACATTAAATGACACAACAATGGCACAATTATGTGTTAAGATAAAGGAATGAAGCACTCACTTATTGTCTTACGCACAATTGTACCAATGTGGAGCATCTGATAAGTGCATCCCTGACAGTGACATATTTAGCCACAAGCCACAATGTATAAATAGATAATATATAAAGTAAGACTAAGGGAACAAACTACGCAGGACAACAGCACTACAAAGAGACGAAAAAAAAAAACGATCCCAACCCATATGACTAGCGTGGTATAGTAGGCCAAAACCTCCTTTCTAATAACTGTTGATGATGATGATGGTGAATTTAACGGTTTTGGTCGCGTAATGGTAAAAAAATTAAAAAAGAAATCTTTCAAAAGAATAAAATCAGGGTGTAGTACCATACACTACTGCTGCTGCCCCCATCAGGACTACACAAAATTTCTTTCAAAATTTGTATTTGACAATTTTAATTGCTCGTGAACTCAGTGTTCGTTTTAATGTTTTTTTTAAGGCAAACAATAATAGGGTCATCATCAGTTATGCAGTTTAAAACATATATAGCTGCAGAAATAACAAAAAAAATCAAGAGCGATAGGTACCTGAAAGTGATTCCTTTTTTATGTACTATATTAGCTATTAACTATTATTTGATATTAGCGACCTTATAGTGGAAACGAACATAAATCAAACAAACATCAAGATAAATAACTTAAGTGTTGAAAGGACAAGTTAATAAATGCGGAAGGCTATATATACTTACTCGATAAACGAGTATCCTACGAGCCTGGCGGCGTGGGAGAAGAACGCGACAATGATGACATTCACGTGGCCGATGCGCGCGGTGATGGCGTCCGCGCCGTAGAGGAACGGGATGCTACTCAATGTGCCCACGGTCACGGTAATACCTACATACGACATATAATTTATATCAATATACTAATAAATGTTTAATGACTTAACGTGTGCACTCATTATTTAGTCGGAGATTAAGACTTTGATCATTAAACTCGAATATCCCAATGAGTATTAAAATATCATTAAAAATTAAACTCACCTAACAAGAAATTAGGAGCTCCTAATTCCTTCAAATATATAAATAGATAAGATTCGATAAATCCCCAAAAGTTTCCTAAGGCAAAGAGAAAGAATATGAATATTATAATGTGTGGCATTTTGATAATGTTAACTAAGTCTCGAAGCAGGTTGTCAGCAGGTAGTTTGGCTCCTAGTGGCATGACGGCAACGGTTACAGCTGATATCAGAAGCAGAACGTCGTAAGTATAAAAGGCGGCTGAGTAATCGGTGTAACCTGCAACAAACAAATAGATATAAATATTTAGTTACATTATTGACATTAATGATAACGATTACGAGACGCTATTAACGTACCAACTTGTTTACTCCTCATATCTATAAGTATGCCCGTGATAGGTGAAAATATAGCCATTCCAATACTAGAAAAAAGCCTCTCTCTTCCAAAATCACCACCGTATTTTTGAATCATAGTTAGAGCTATAGGATCCATGATAGTGACACCAGCAGACAACATTATAGTTCCCATGAATCTCAAGAAAAAGTAAATGTAAAATGTTTTATCATCGCTCTCCTTATAATCCGGTGGGCAAGTATCAGGGCCGCCTCTCCTGTAATATTCCAATGATAAATTTACCTTTAGATATCAAGCGTTTGTGTAAACTTATGATAAATGCTAAGTAGCTGGCTGTGCTGGCTTACAAATAAAATTATGATCAAATAGTGGTATTAACGTGAACTATTATTAGTACAATACCTGAAGTCACATTTTTGCACCATGCAATCGGCAGATAAAATTTCAAGTCGTTGCTTGGAGAGCTTTGTCATGTTATGTAACATCACAAGTCCACCACATCTCAGGTCATCTTTGTCTAATGCTGTTATATTCACGCCTTGTGCTATCAAAAGTTTTTCACCAAATCTTGATCTGAAGTCTGTAATTCGGTCGTCTTCGTCCTAATAAATTTAAGTATTATTATAATTTATTGCAGCTATTAAAGTATTATACTGATATTTACAGAGTTTTGTATTAATATTACTCACTCTTTCCATTTCTATCCCAAGTTGTTCTTTAGGTTCTTCTAAATCGTCGTGAACTTCAATTAAAAAATAAGCAGCATCATTGTAGTCTTCATCGTCAGTTATGTTTAGGAAACCGCTAAAATAATGTTTTCTTATTGAGAAAGTAATTGGTGAAAGAATGAAGGAACTGTTGCTTTAGATTAAAAGTTCTAATTATTCTCCCTAATAAAGTAAAAGGCCGTGACAATCTGAATTTCTTCATTTTATAAAATCTAAACGCTTTTCTATGGATGTGTTGAATTGAGTAAGAAACAGTCAGTGAGTGTAAAAAATTGGGACCCATAGATTAAAGCGCATTTTTAATATTATCTTTAAAATGTCATCCGCAATCACGCCATTTATTGTCAGATACTTCGTATTATGGCAAACCTAACCGCCAGAAACGTTTAAAGAGTGATTAGTACTTGCACTTAGAATTATCATTAACTCAGTCTGGCAAGACATTACAACTACTTGTAAAACTTATATGAAATTCTTTTACACCGTGACAAACGTAATATTAGATTATATCACAAGATAACATTAAACTTTACGCTTTATACCAAGGAAAGTAGGTCTGTATTTTTCCACAAAGGAAGTGGAAATGTGTGCCTAAGCATTTCCATATTCTTCAAATAGACACTAAATAGTAACTTTAAGGATCTATAATATTACGGAATTCCGGCGATAGCTGCACTTGGATTATAATTTATTATATTTCAAAATTCTAAATGAAATTAACTTTGGTTATAACTAAGCGAGAATTACTCAGAGAGCCCTGTAATGTTTGTTCGTAACTTTAGTCACATTGTTATCGTAGTTATTTTATAGCAGTTATAGTGTAAATTACATAATGACTACTGCGCATTGAAGATTACGAGTTTGAAACTTATATGCATATTATTCTGAGAACACATAATATCTTTATTTAACTTCCTTCGGTAGCGTAAAGATATTGTATGTGAAAATTTTACGTTTATTACTTAACTAGGTAAGTAAGTAAGGAGTAACTACTCTTACAATGCCAAATGTCATCTAAGCAAATAATAAAATGAACTCACCTAGCATTCGATAAATTAGGTGGCCGAATCTTATGACTAATATGAAAGTCCAAGTCATCTTTATCATCAGATGGATCACTGGCGGGGCTCTCTGTAGCTGGTCTATACAGTTGACAGTGATCAACACAGCGATCCAGAACAAAGTCTACTGTTTCGTCTTCATCTGGACATTCTCTGCTTGGACATGGACTCCACCAAATCTAACAAATGGTTTAAAAACAAGATCGAAATGCTGTTTCCGTATGTAGATAGCGAGGTAGGCAAGCCAATTCGTAAAATAGTACCTTTACTTAACCTCATCTAACCACTTTAAATTACAAATTATAGGTTACCAACGGATGGTCCATTAAATCAGTCAAGGATGAAGTCCAACATGCATAAATTTAGCTTAATTCCCTTAACGAATTCAAAGATACAAGCTCACAAGACACTACTAGCTAATTCACCCTGAGACCGGATGAAGACGATTTGTTCAAATTCTTAGGTGTATTCTTTGTTAGTAGATAACAAGGTCTTTAGAAACAAATGTATTTATACCTCTACACTGTTCGTGATGGGGTGCCGCATGACGTAGGCTGATGGCATCATTCCTGGCGTCTCTTGATGAGGAATTAGGAGCAAGGAGTGATGAAATGCGGCATTTAGTATTAATGCAGTGATCACAACCGGCTTATACTCTCCAAAGCGGTCCACCAGGAACCCTACAATTATTCATGTCTCAAAACACAGGTAAAAGAACAATTATTTTTAAATTTACAAACTTACCAGTTATCGGAGGACTTAAAAACGTTGTGAAAGGTAACGCTAAATACACGAAAGAGATTTCAGGCACTGTTAGTCCTATACTCTGCATGTGTATAGTCAAATATGGCAAGAGAGATGCGGTAGCCCCATACATAACAAACAGAGTCACTTTTAACATGACCAAGTTGGGATTGATCCGCAACCAGACCACGAGCCTCCCCATACAACCTAGCTCCTCGTCACTGTCGCCGTCCATGGTCGTATCGTCTTCACTATTTTTCTTCACTTCAACAGACCTCGCCATATCGCACTCACATACAATCACATTTTAATACAGGAAGATGTTAGTTTGTAGGCCATATCTTATCGACTGCCGCTCGATTCAGTAACAAAGCTGCTGTCGGTCTTGTGTTGTGACGACTATTTAGAGATAAGGGTTCCCCACGAATTTATCTTCTAATAAGAATGTGTACGAATGGTCGGAGCCAGTGGGAGAACCAGGGAGGGTCCCGTGTTCCCGAACGACTGCGACGCAGTCAGTTTGCGACGGACGTCGCTCGGTACACCAATTTACAAATAATAGCAAATTACCTTCGTTTAAGAAGTGTGACGGCGATTGGTGGGGATGCTAGTTAAATCGGCTTGCAATCCGAAGACCTTGCGGCTAATAGCCTAGGGTCGGGGCGCCCGATACTCCGTTAGTTCCCGATATGATCGCGCGGTTCGCGAATTAGCGCTAACCTTTGCTGCTCGCTATTTGTAAGTTGACTTTGATTTAAAATATTCAATCTTTTTATTTCTTTTATAAATATTTTATTGTTTTTCATTTGTTTCTGTACAGATCGACTAAGTATGTAGGTATATTACTATTTATAAAGCATATTTATGTAAGTGTTTAGTTAAATAATCTCTATGAAAGTATTGCATGTATGCTGCAAGTTGGTACTTATAGACATCTACAATAAAAATGTAGTAATTCAGATATCAGTAAATGGTTAAATGGACACGACACTGTCTACTTGACTGTACTTTGACATGTTACACAAGCAAAAAAAAATGAGAACTATTTGGACTTCAGTAACTTATACTGTGGTTGACCACACCTAGAATTATTTTAATTACACTAAAGCTACCCGATTGCATTATGTAACAGCCCCTAAAATATTATAGAAATACTAGCTGAGTTCCTGATCTTGAGTCGATAGGTAAGTAAATCAGCATGTAGTAGAGTTGTATACATTTTGTTTTATTCGTGTTGAAAGTCAATCGGGTCATCATAATCATCGGGGTTTTGGTGGGGTGGGGCATGGGAATTGAACCGACTGACACCACCCGATGTGGGCACCACCGGGTAACCCTCTAAGTATACGACATCTAGGCAAGCACATTGCGGCTGGCCCCTACGGCAAACACTTACTAATCAAACCCAAATGGGGAGTGCTGGCGAACTACCACGCGGTCAGTTGACACGGTATCGGCGTTGGGCTCTAACCTCCATGACTCCTAGGGCACCAGTAGCAGACCCTACCATGGCTAGTCAGAGCCTCTGCCCTCACCCCTGCTCCATAGCCACTGTTACATGCTATTGATCAGCCTACCTTTGTATACAGCTTTATTTCAATGCTAGGAGCGAGTCGCTGAAAGTAGTTGTCGATCTGCCTCACCCCGCTTAGATTAAGTTAATCAAATATGTTGAATATACTACCACTACTTCGTAGGTCTGGAAATACGTCCTAACAAAATTTCATTTCATTTATTTACTTAATAGAGATATTAATTGCGTAGAAATCATACACAATAAAATACATATAAGGACATATTCAATTTAATCTAAATATTTAAAACAAAATATTTAGATTAAATTGAGTTACTAGAATTCATAATCAAATTTAAATACCCAAACTAAAAAATAAAGTAGTTGTAGTAAGTAGTAGTTCTAAGTTTACAAAACCTCTTAAGCTTCTCAGTACAAAACAGGCAGAGTGTATGCTAGCTTCTACATTAGAAAGCTCACATTTTAAATTAAGAAAGCATTCTACATGAAACCTAGAAATTTAACTTTACAAATTATTCCCCATAAGACTTCATTGTTGTGTATATGAATTTTTACTAGTAGAATTAAACAGACTTAAGTTTTTATCATTTAATTTTAAGTAGCTAAATGATAATCAATTGTTAAGTGGCCTAAAACTTCATCAACTTTTTCTTTGAGGTTGCATGGAGTATCAGCTGACATAATGGCATTCGAGTCATCATCAAAAACAGTCAGATTGATATTATCCTGTAACTCATTACTTCTATTACTAATAAGGTCAATAAATATAATAAAAAATATGGGACGGAATGTGGAACCTTGGGACAAACCTGTTTTAATATCAATTAGTTTTGATTTACACGTTTTAACACGTTTGTTTTGATTGAACCTGTTTGCTCATAGTTTTCAGTGTTGATCTCCACAAACATTTGTCCATTTTGTACTCGTATATATAGGATATAAATAATGGTTTTTACAGACCTCTTATTCCATAATTGGCCAACAATTACTATATCATAATTTATGGTGTCGTAAGCAGGACTTACGTCAAGGAAGATCCCTGTATACTGTTGCTTACAATTTTACTTGGTTAGTAAGTAGGTAATTAATGAGTATTTTGGTCCTACTTCTGAGTATATTTAGTATTCCTACTTTCCTGAATCTGATCTCTCTCCGATTTAAAATATTTATAGTTTGAACCCAAATACCTTAGTTGGCTATTTTAAACTGGCCTGCAAATACCATCATAAGATACCATCCTTAATACATTTGTTCTGCCAAAATATATATGTTCTCTTTTATTATAGCAATGGATACATCACCACCAAATGAGAGCTTGCTTTTTCATTTTCTTTACCAGGTTTTGAACCTCCTTCGTACTAACCTTCTCTACGAGTATACTCATTTCACTTTCTGTTCCATTCGTATTTTCCTGGAGATTTTTTTAAACTGTTACACAGTTCAGGTTATCCACTAACATAATTGTTAAATGTAGCGGTACACATATTGGACATGAAAAACATTGGGTGAAATCAAAAAATCGATCCAAAACGTATTTAAAAAATCACAATTGTATTTTTTTCCTGGTTCTAGCAAATTTTATTTTTATTTTTTTGCATCGTTGAGATCCTTAACTTTGAATCTAAGGATTGCCCCTTACCTTTATTTTATTTTATACCTTTGTATTTAAGTACTTTTAGAAAAAATATTTTAACAAAATTAAGCTTTTAGGCATAAAACAATTTTTGGTGATTCATATGTATCATAATCGTCATTATCAACAACATCAAACCAGAAAAAAAAGTACAAACATTTTCCCATATATAACTCATAAAGTTTTAAAATACCTATTATTTACTAAAGTATTGTATATTATAAAATTTATAAAATATAGTCTAATATAAAATATAGTACCTAAATTGTTTCATTTCATTTTCGTTCTCCTGTAAAATGCGTAATTTGAGAATGCATGAATGAAATGCTTTTCATGTCTAGAAAATTAGAATCAATTTTTATAATAAGTATTATAATTTATTAATAAGTAATTAGAACCTGCAAAATAAATAAAACACTTTGTATTTGATATGAAAGAAATGGATAAGATCATAAATCTATATCTATATTATTTACTAGCGTACCCGCGCAACTTTGTCTGCGTCCTCAAAATTCATTTCATTGATGCTTGGTTTGGAATTCAAATCAGCATTGCCTGAGATTAACGTGTTCAACCAAACAAACAAACAAACTCTTCAGCTTTATAATATTAGTTAAGATTAATATGTGAAGAAAATTCGTTGTACTGCTTTTAAAACATCAATCATATTTTAAAAACTTAATGTTGATATGAAGAAGCTATAAAGTTAAAAATGGCTACATAAAAGTGTATTGTCTAGTATATAGTGACCTGCCACAGATCAATAAAATAAAAGCCATGTAAAACCGTCGGAATCATATCGGCAGGCGACAGAAAATAGGTTGAAGTTTTCCATCATTTTCCTTATCCTATCATTGTAATAATAGGATAAGGAAACCAGAAAGGGGGAGAGACCTCTTTTTTTTGGGTACAGGGTGGGACCTTTAGATCTCCGGCTTAGCTACTTGGGACTATAGTAGGCAAGATTATATTGCGTCTCAACTAAAACCATTATGTGATATCAGGTCCCCCGAAGGGCGAGAGAGCTATGAGTAAAGGATACTCGATTGGTAAATGGGACTGACACTACAGTAGCTCGAAGAGGTCACGTATCCTTTTGTCCGTCCTGTGATTGGAGAGGCCATTGGGACAGGGCTATCAACTGTTCTAGTACTATTATAGAATTTTTCAATTGTCTCACGAATTACCTAGTCAAAAGAAACTTTAATTAAAACGAAATAGAGTCCCGTTTTACCCTTTGGGTACGGAACCCTAAAAACAATATAAAACAAGGGAACGACAACATAAAGGGACAAGGGACAACAACGAACAAGGGACAATATAAAACACGGGAAACAAGGGACTACATGTTTTTAACCGACTTCAAAGACACAAAAGAGAAGGTTATCAATTCTTCTGTATGTTCTTTTTTGGATGTTTGTTACGCAATATCTCCGTCAATTGTTGACATATTTACAAACTTCTTTTTTATCTGCCAAGACGAACCAAGCGAAGCGCAAGGGCACTAAGCTTCCTTTTTTAGAAGAACTTTTTCGTTTTTCTGAACCCTCATATAACTTGGGTTTGTGCCACACCAGATAAACCAAATTCTCTGGATATAATGTGTCAAATAATAATATAATAATAATAATAATGTTTCCTATTCTGAAAACGTAGTACTTGACGGTACTAAATATTTTTTTATGGTTTTTAGTTTGGTTTAGATGGTTTTCGAAAAACGGAATTAGCACCAATAGTGGACTTATTAAACATATAAAATTTCAATTGCATAGCTCTCATACTTTAGATTTTATTCACACATTACACATCACATCAACAGCCTTTAATAGTCCAGTGCTGGACATAGGCCTCTCCTTAGAAAGGAGGCTACCACGCTGTCCAGACGTTTGGTCGGCTGAATAGGGTTGGTGTCACTCCGTCCTAATCCGTCACGGATACTTTATTTTGTTAATATCTAAAAAAATAAATTTCGTCACTGACTCACTGATGATCATCAAACTTCTTAAGGTACTTCCTGAAGTACTAAAAGCTGAAAGTTGGTATGTAAGCTGATATTAGTACACAAACAACAACAAAAATCCTAAAACTTAGACCTTCCCCCTCATCCCCCGCCATTCCCTTAAACTAGGGGATGGAAGTTTGTATGAGACTGCCGCAAATTTTGATGCTGGAGGTTTTCTCATCATCATTAATCATAATAATTTCTGTCCAGTATCAAAGCGTCACTTGCCAGCCGACACCAGAGCCATGACTATAAGCTCTCTCTATAATAATGAGAGTATTAAATACATTACTTTTCACTAAAGTCATATTGAAATCTGATACTCTGTCGCTCCCACAATTAATAATTAAAATATAATAATATATTCTACCACATTCACACAACGCCATCTAGTCCCAAACTAAGCAGAGCTTGTACTATGGGTACTAGACAACTGATAAAAATAAATATATAAGTTTTTTTTGTAAATATATACATATTAGTCATAGTCAGGGAAAGTCACAGGAAGATAATATTGTTGTCTTTATATAAACGGTTTCAACCAAATAATTGTACCTACCTAATTTATGTGGGATTAAAGTAGAACAATTCATAGACAAGAATATAACACCATTTAAGACAGTTTCATCGTGAATAAACTATCGAAAACTCCTACCATATCACGGATTTTATAAGCCACGAATAAAAAATATACCACAATATTAATGTGATAAATTGAATGAAACTTACAGTTACAAGGAGACAGGTTTATTTTTAATAAAAACAAAAGGAGTAACTTCGGCTTTTCTTGGCAAATTTACATTTATGAAGCAAAATATTAGTTGGCGAGAATTGTTTAACTTGCCAAACTTGTCACAGACTGAATTTCTTGATAGAATAGTCAGACATACATTCAACATTTGAATGCCCTGCATGATGACTTCAAAAGGATAAAATATTTTTAAGATGGAAATACCAACACATGGAACATAAATGCATTTCATGAAACGGAAATTACGAAAATGTTATTACTAGAGGAGGTACTCGAGATTGGCACCAAAGAGGAGCTGAAGGTGAAATTTAAAAGAGGCTATCACACATTTTTGCTGCAGGCAGAAATATCCGAAAAATATCATGGAATATTTTGAAAATGCAAAAAGAAAGAAAATTCTGCGAGTAAAAGTATCATCATAACCACACATCTTTATTTTCCTTTATGAATATAATACCATGACTTGGAAATCGCACGTAAAATAATTAATGCCAGGATTATAATATTTCTATTAGAATACTTAAGCATGGTAAGCTTAATTAAATATTTTTAGGGTCTAGGTTGATATTCTTATCTTGAGGAAAACGATAAAATATTTTTGTGCACAGTGCCATCTAATGGCTAATAAGTTTAACGATCCTTTTCTATTGCCATCTATTGTAGAATAGCAGTACTAAAGTAAAATTAACAAATCTATTAAAAAATCAGTACATTTCAATGTTAACAAATGAATAAATGTATTATTAAAATCATCTTGTAATTGCTACTACTTTGATCTGCAATACAAATCATGCAAAAGGAAGTTGAATAGCTGTTTTGGAAAGAAACGAACTATTTAAAACAACCGTTAAAACTAGGTAACAACTACATGTTCTTATTTATTCTATTAGACTAAAATTTTGGTCCTCTAAAACAGAATAAATTTTTATAAAAAGTAAGTTAATTCCTAAATTTGTAGGCTTTTAATAAATTACAAACATCAATAAATTGTTTGTGATAAATCAAACAGTCATGTATATTTATGAAAATATAAATAAAATTATTTTTGTAATATTTCTTAAATATATCAAACTTGTCTTTTTTATTTATTTTGTTTTGTAATATAAGCAAAATATATTTTTAAACAATTTAAAAAGATCTTGGTGGCGCCATCTAATGACCATAGATATGAACAAATTGAAATTCGTCTACAATGTCTATAGTCTACTGCAAATTGTCAACCATAATGCATTGCGCATAAATGGCCGCCATGTTGCTGCCGTCTGAAAGATGTTCGCAACTGTGTGTGTTTACTAATGAAATTTAAGAACCCATATAGTTAAATTACTGTGTTGTGAAATTGTGAGTGTACAATGATTTTATATTTCATGTCTTAATGTGATTGAAAAGTCTGTCAAATGTCTCTGAAGCCGATAAACAGTGAAATTTTCTTTAGATAGTCATTCGGTTCGGACGGCATAATGGCTGACAATCTGATCCAAAAGTCACATAAAACTAGTGAGAAAAATAAGTATAACAACGTTGTTCACCGTACGACGAGTGAATCTCTTCGACTGAACGATTCGGAGAAGGGAGTGACTCACCCGACAAGTCTTCAAGCCGCCCATAACCCAAGGAAAATATCTTCATTTCAGATCACCAGTGTGACGGTCGGCTCTCGAGTGAGCACTGATGCTGGCGAAGATTCTGCTGACGATCTAGATGAATCTCACACCGACGACATATCGAGAGTAACTGACATAGAGAATGAAACTCCTAGTTATTCGGAAGATACGTTTTCAAAGGACGATGTATTTTACAACGCCTCGAGTGCATCAATAGGCTGCGCCCCCGTCATCCCGACCAGTTCGCAGTACGGACTCGCGATAGTCGGCCAGGACAACGCCGCTAATCAGATAACAGGAGCAGTGCCAAATAGTAATAATACAGAAGCAACTGACATGCATGTCAACGTCACTAACGCTGGAACAGGCAGCATTATTAATCTCATAGGAAATTCTAAGCCTCAAGAAGGTATGAAAGAAATACAAGAACACGTTAGAAATGAGCGGTTTAAAGTTGTCAAAATTGAAAGTACTGAACCTTTTCGTAGGGGCCGGTGGATGTGTATGGACTACTTGGATCATACAAGCTCTCAGCAAAATGCACCAATTACATTGAACAACAACTCTGATGTAACTGAGACTAATACGCTGCAAGCTCCAGACAGTGGTGTAGTTATAAATGATAGTCAACATGATGAAATTACTAATGATCTGACTAACAAAGGGCCTAAAGATATGCAAGGAAATGCTCCAACTGTTCAGCAGCTAGAACAAACTCTTCAAAAACAATTCCCTATGGCTTCCCCTGGGCAATCATTGACTCAGCCACTTAATGTGGTGCAGCAACAGATGCCTGTTTCTCAATCGGTATCTGTTCAGTCACCACCTTTAGAAATGCCACAGCAAATGCCAAATCCTAATATGCAGACTAATCAGCAAGTTGGTCAACAGCATCCTCAGAGCATGACTCACATAACTATGCAGAATGCTGGCCAAAATCATCCACAACAGACACAACAACAACAAATTCAACAAATACCACAAAGTTTTCCTCAACACCAATTGCAACAAGTTATAGCTCAATCTCAAGGCATTCCTCTGCAACAAATTCCTATGCATCAACAGATGCCTCAGCAGATGCAACAAATACCTAATCAACAAATGCAGCAAATGAGTCAACATTTGCCCCAGGCACAAATTCCTAACATGTCACAAATGCAGCAGCAAATGCCACAAATGCAAGGTATGCCAAATCAAGGGCAAATGACCCAAGTCCCTAATCAACAACCACAAATGCAGCCAATGCAAATGCAACAGATACAAGGCCAACCAAATCCTCAGATGCACATGCAACAAGCTCAAATGCCGAATATGGGTCAAACTCACCATCTTCAGGGACAACAGCCTATGGGAGCGCAACAGGCTCAACTTCAGCATTTGCCAAGTCAAGCTCAGATACAAGCCCTACAAAATCAACAATTACCCAACCACATTCAGCAAATGCAAATGCCTACGCAATTGACCGGTGCTAACCAACAGATTCCTCAGATGCAAACACAAATGCATCAATTGCCATCACAACCTCAGCAGTCTGTTGTGACAGGTATGCATCCGCAAATGCAACAACAAGGCATGTCTGGTGTTCAACAGCAATATAACCAGGCTGTCAGCCAGCAATCCAATGCTCAGTCAATGATTAATGCTAGTATGCCATCATCACAACAGCAGATGGTACAACCACAACATAGTGTGCCACAGTACCATGCACAGCAATCACAGATGAACCAGCAAGGCCAAACTATGCCACAAGAGGTGCTCACAAGTATTGTTACATCACAGCAAGGTGCAACTCTACCTACAAATCTTCAACCGATGGCTTCTCAACCACAGGGTTCAACATTGCCTTCTAATCTCCAGAGCCTCAGCCAGCAGCAGCCAAACACAGTGCACACCATAGCTCCGCAGCAAGGGAATGTACCCCAGGGAAATATACAACAAATGATGGCTGCTGCACCTCAGAATATGCAGATGACTCTAGACGGGAATCAGCCTAGTATGCAGATACCCGCCTCAGATCCTATATTCATGCAACCAGCGAACGTCGGTCAGCAGATGCCAGTTGGGCAGCACATGGGGCAACAGAATATGCTGCCTCAACAGGTTGGTGGCCAGGGCCAAATGGGGGGCGTGCAGTACGTTCCTAATCAGCCAGTGGGGCAGGTGTCAATGGCACACCAGAACATTCCGATGTCAATGCCAGTTGGTATGGGTGGTGGGGTCCATTCTAATGTGGTGCAGTCCCAGACTAGCATTGGCCTTGCATATGGTGGTGTCGTCCCAGTTATGTCCCAAAGCAGTGTAGCGCCTGTCGAAGCTGCAGTGTCAGGGACTAACTCGCCTGTAGTGTCTATGCCAGTGAGCTCAACTGCATATGTAGGGAATCAGGCTCAACCTGGCCATGACAGTCAGGGCTTCGGCAGCCCAGTGAGTGCAGTGGTGTCTCATGCCGTTAGTGGCGCAGTGATGAGCAATGTGAATGTGAATGCATGTGACAGTGGTGCTCCAGATGTGTCCACGGATACGTTGCAGGCTGGTGATACTGGCGATGGCAAAGAGGAACCGCAGCCTGCTCCACCCCCAGAGGATGAAAGGTTAGTTACAACTTATATTTATTGATCAAAACCTATTTTTATTTATTGTATATTTCTTAACCAATTTATTCACTTTAGTTTCTCGTTAGAATTAATTCTGAAAATATACTATTTTATCTTTATAAAGGATATGACTGAAGTTAGTTAATAAAAAGTCCTAATTGCAACTGTGTCTATACTTTTTTAAATTTGATCATTAATTAAAGTTTGCCCTTGGTAAAATTATTTAGCTTAATTTAATAACTGTTTCATGCATAAATTTATAAATCAAATTAAGTTACTACAATTAAAAGAAAAATCTAGTTTAACAATCATGAGTCATTTAAAACATATAATATATTATTTACAGCTAAATAAGTACTTAATTATAAAGTTTTCTCTTTAATATGACATAGTACATTAAACTACAAAATAATTAATCACACTTTTTGCTAATATTTTTATTGCATGTAATTTTTTATAGTAGATATAGAGATGGACGTATAAATTCTGTGGATTTAATGTATTATATTTCATACATATTTCTCTTATATTATATATAGCTTGAAATTAATAAAAGTACAATTATCATTAAATATAATCACAGAAAAATATAATAATCATTCTGTCAAAGCAGTAGCCCATTTTTCTCAAAACTGGTGATGATTTAACAGCTACTTTTTAGGATTCTAATCACTTAATTACATTATGTTAAGTGAAGGTGATAAGCATATAGCATGTTTTGTAGGGATTGGATAGCCATAAAGTGGTCATAAACCATATAAAGCACTTTACAGTGTAGTGACATATCAGAGGGGTGGCATGTGAAGAGTTAAGTAGAACTTTTCACTTGCTCTGTATTGATTGTTCTGCAAAAGAATAAAGACCATAAGTAATAAACAATCATATGCAGCTGACACAATATAAACAAGACCTTATAGTAACTTTACACTCTTAAATTAAGGTATTCTACACATTTCTGGATAGTGTACTGTGATTAAATGACTATTGAAATGCAGGCAACACAGGTCAGTGTAGCACAGTGCAAACTCTGTTTTGGACACAAACAAATTTATATGGAGCAACTAATAGAGAGGACTCTGTACTATTTATACAATGAGATGACATGACATACAGCCTGAATCTGGTTTGTTATTTTTCCCAGTATTTATATATATTTCAGTGAACTAAGTTACTTAAGTATTAAATATTTAAAAAAAGCATTTGGTAATGATGTTTTTAAATTGTCTGGATGAATATGGGAACTAAGGCAGTTATTTTATTACAATCAACGACGACAGGCAACATTCACGAATAAATTGCAAATAATGTGCACATACAAATTCTTATCTTAGCCAGTTTTATTAGCGACAAGTTGAGCGCCTATATATGGCTGCAAGTTGCGTTGCGTTGAGTCTATTTGCAAAAATAACTCATGCGTAGACAATGGTGGTTGTTTTCGTTACTTTTGGTTGGTGCGCGCACCGTCGCCGAGCGGAATCCGAAGTCCCTTTGATGCTGTTTATTTGCGCGTTCGTCCTGCGACATAAATAGGTGGTTGACACGTACGGTGCATGGTGCGCGCCGGTATGCCGCCGAGTGACTCACGCGCAACGCACTCGATCTACGGCCTGGCTAAAAAAGCGACGATCGTGCGTTCTTTTTCGTCTGTACTCTGATGATGTACATACACTTTTTATGATATAGTCGATTAAGCAAATATATCAACAGCACTAAAACACTTCCTCGTATTGACAACACGAAGCCGCAGAGAAGTTGGTATAGTCGCCAGCGCTCACGTCAATGGCGACGTTGGTAATCGAGTAGAGAACCGAAGGCCATGAAACCCGAACCTTCCATTCGCTTCTGATCGACTCATATGCAACTACCCACTACCATTTGTGCTTAAAATAGTTCAACACACTTAATATAACTAACACGATACTTAAACGGTATAGTTAATGCATAAAACATGAGCTTATGTAGAGCCCGTACACCCTTCAGCCATGTGAGTTTGTTTCTGGGCACAAATGTTAAATATAACTCAACTCTTGGTATTTTATTGGTTGTGAAGATTTCTCGCGGTTTTTTAGTGACGCATTGTCTAATTCGCATGAGCAATTTTATTTTTTGAGTTTAACAAATTTTAAATGTGCAAGCAGTGGTGTAGAAAAATGTAAATGAAACGTCTTAATTTGAAACGTTTACCAGTACCACTTCAACTCTTTTTTTAGCAAATTCTCCTGTCATTCATGCTAATTACGCTGTTACCGTTCTTACAGGCTTACACCCCCGTAATCTAATCAGTAATTTTAGTAGATTTAAGTTTCTGAACATGGGCTGATTTGGAACCGACGTCATGTCCAAAATGTTAATTCGAGCACAATATGATGAACCTCGAATCTAATTCGCTCAACCCAATTATATGATGCGTTTAGGGTTCTAAGCGCCGAGTAAACCATTGAAATCCGCTTAAATTGTATGAAGTTTTAAGTTATGTTCATGCTCTTATCTATACTACTGTTTATACATGTACTATCTATTCTGTATCTGTTGTACTATATGGGAATTAGAAGTGGGCGAATAAAAAATCAAAATGTATAATGATTAAAAAAAATATTGCATTTTATTAAAATTATCATTACAAATGATATTAATTACAATTAAATGATGATTGCGCTTCGCAGTTAGATTACTCAGATGAGACTATATTATTTCCAATTAACAATTAATTTATTCAGCCACCTCGCCGCTTACTACTGCGGTGAGTGTTGCGGTTTCGATCTCACGTGGGACAAAATTTTGTGGGATGTGTCTGGGTGTTCTCTGTGTATGTTTGAATGATGGTTTGTAAAGTCTCCTGCGACACAGATTATTATATTCCAAGCCCTGCACTTGGAAAATAATAATCTGTGTCGCCAACAAGAAACTTTCGATTTAATAACTGCCAAATAATAATATTTCACATCTTTATATGTAGAATTGTATTATTTTTGTTTAATTGTATTTCCAAACGTTACTTATTTATATGATGTAAACTTTAATTTCTGTCGCTAAAGAAAGTCGTACATCAAAGTGACAGCGACGACGGCTCAAGACAACATCGTCTTAAAATTTAAAATCGTTACGAGTATTTGAAATTGTAATAAAGAACTGCTACTTATTATTGTACCCACTTACTGTAGGTATCAGATTTTTTTAGTAGGAAAACATCCTTTTTAGCAGCTAAAACCATTGATAGCAACTTCTTATAAATACACTAAACACAACAACAGTAATATCACAAAATAGAAAGGAGCACTGAATATAATAGCCGGTAGCAAGCAGATGTTAAATCAATTGATATTGCAGATTTTATCAGAATAAACTATTAAATGGTTTTAATAGCACTCGCATCCATAATATCTGTTTTAATAGATTCACAAAATACATAAATAATTATAAACGGTTTTCAGATCAAGATCAATACGATTTATTTTTATTTCCTAACAATTTTTCCGTACATTATCGATACACCTGAAACTTCATTCAATATTACACGTTTCTATGTATAGTGGTTCATGTTTAAGAATTGCACACAATGTTTCATGTCAACGCAGTACTAATATTGGCTTGTAACTTCAAGAATCAGAACAAAGATCGATTAATTCGACGTTACCGTGCAAGCATGGTCGATTTATATAACCCAGTTACATACACTTATCTTAGGTACATGGTAGGTGGAGCTATGAGTCTAGAAGTCTAGAACTAAAAAAGTTAAAATAAACCATTTCCGATTGTTATTTCCCTCACTATATATACTGAATTTGATTTTAGAATGTGGATTTGCTATTTACAAGTCGTGAGAATAGCTCGTGCGTACGTTTTTATCTTGCAATTCAAGCTATTGGCGTGCTTATATTGGTGAAAGTACATGCACAAAATGCTTTCTTGTCTGCGATCTGCGCACTGTACATTGTCAAATAAAGCGGCCATTTGGAGACGAAAACGTGTTCGTGTTTTACAAGTTAGTAATTTATAAATGTTCAGAACAAGTTTGGCCATTTTATGGCTTCTTGATTTTATTGATATTGCATGCCTTATGTAATTTTTGAGATACGTGTTGTTAAAACATTATATTGGTTCATTGGTAACTTAATGATATCTTTAGGGTACCGTGCCCAAATGGGGATAATAAACACCATTATATCGTCCTCTCCCATCTGTGTTTGTATTTTCTAAAAACTTTAAATTATACAATGCATAATTGGCATTTTTCGAAGGATATATTTGATATGAACAACTTTTATTGCTTTTCATTGCAACTAAACTTTGCATTTTTACGACGCACGTAATTTCCGCCCACAGAACAGTACGCTGTTTGAAGTATCTGATTTGTTCAGTGTTACTTCATAATTCCATCCCAAATAAATATCAACATTACAACGTAACGTAACACGTAACATTACCATACACACTTGTTCAATTTTAAAACTGATTGGAGTAGGCTGGAGGTATAGAACCGTTTAACATTAATCTACATGGTATTGTAGTTGTGGTGTACTGTCATTAATTTATTATTATATGGTGATAGCATACGGCATATCGCGTTAGCTTGTTGTCAAACAGAACAGCTGTAGGCCGACTGTGCGTGACGACGGCGCGTCTCGCAAGGACGTCCAGGGCTGCGCGACCATCGCCACCGCCCTGCCTGACTACTTTTTCATCACGTGCTTTGTACAAACGTCTTTTTTGCGAATAAATTCAGCAGTATCGATTGCCGATAAAAGATCGATTACTGCGTAATATCAAGTCTAACTATAGTGGCAAAGAAAACAAAATCGAATGACGTGACTGTTATGCTCTTAATGTTAAAGAAGCCAATATTTATTCAATGTTATTCAAATATCAAAGTACTTTAAATTGATCTGGCTCTAAAAGTTTATTTGGCGTGAACTTTATATTTTATTAACTATTTAAAACGCAATGAAATAAAATCTTTCTAAGGATGGGACCTCAATAACAGTTTCTATTAAAGTTTGTTGACTGATAATGTGCAATGATAAA